TCCTAAATATAACACCAACAGCACAGACACTGAGCACAACAATTAATAAATGGGACCTCTTGAAACTGAGAAGCTTTTGCAGGGCAAAGGACACTGTCAATAAGACAAAAAGACAGCCTACAGAATGGGAAAAGATCTTCACCAACCCCACATCTGACAGAGGACTGATCTCCACAGTATATAAAGAACTCAAGAAACTAGACATCAAAATGCTGAACAATCCAATTAAAAAATGTGCTAAAGAGCTAAACAGAGAATTCACAAAAGAAGAATCACAAATGGCTGAAAGACATTTAAAGAAATGCTCAACATCCTTAATCATCAGAGAAATGCAAATCAAAATGACTCTAAGATACCACCTCACACCTGTCAGAATGGCTATGATCAAAAACACTAATGACAGTCTATGTTGGAGAGGATGCGGAGCAAAGGGAACACTCCTCCACTGTTGGTAGGAATGCAAACTTGTACAACCACTGTGGAAATCAGTATGGCAGTTTCTCAGAAAATTGGGAATCGATCTACCTCAAGACCCAGTCATACCACTCAATCATACCACAAGGACACATGTTCAACTATGTTCATAGCAGCACTATTTGTAATAGCCAGAACCTGGAAACAACCTAGATACCCATCAACTGAAGAATGGATTAAGAAAATGTGGGGTGGTGGTGGCGCATGCCTTTAATCCCAGCACTCAGGAGGCAGAGGCAGGCGGATCTCTGTGAGTTCGAGGCCAGCCTGGGCTACAGAGCGAGTTCCAGGACAGGCTCCAAAGCTACACATAGAAACCCTGTCTCGAAAAACAAAAAACAAAACAAAACAAAACAAAACAAAACAAAAAAAACAAAAAAAAGAAGAAAGAAAGAAAGAAAGAAAATGTGGTACATATACACAATGGAGTACTATTCAGCAGAGAAAAACAATGACATCATGAAATTTGCAGGCAAATGGATGGAACTAGAAAAAATCATCCTGAGTGAGGTAACCCAAACCCAGAAGGACAAACATGGTATGTACTCACTCATAAGTGGATTCTAGATATAAAGCAAAGAACATTCAGACTACAACCCACAGAACCAGGGAGGCTACATAGCAGGGGGGACCCTAGAATGACTGTGGCTTATAATAAGTTTTGGGTTTACTCAATTACTGGGCAAGCCCCAATGAAACATTTCACTATTAGGATAAGAATTTATACTATATCAAGCTGATAATAGAAAATAAATAAGCCGGGCGGTGGTGGTGCACACTTTTAATCCCAGCACTCGGGAGGCAGAACCAGGCGGATCTCTGTGAGTTTGAGGCCAGCCTGGGCTACCAAGTGAGTTCCAGGAAAGGCGCAAAGCTACACAGAGAAACCCTGTCTCAAAAAAACAAAAAAAAAACAAAAAAAAAAAAAAAGAAAGAAAAGAAAAATAAATAAATAAATAAAAATGAAAAACGTGAGGGAGGGCGTTGAACAAAACGGAGCCCTTATTCATTGCTGGCAAGAGTCCTAACCAGTGCACCCACTCAACTGAAACTCAAAATGGAACAACCCCCTGTGTCCAGCCCTGCCACTCCGGGGCCACAAGCCTGTGTCCTGTTGGTGGTTGCTTTTACTCTTTTCTCTTTTGGCTCTAGAAACTAGACAGGGGCCCAGGAGAGGGGAAAAAGACACTTCAGGTTATGGGGAGGAGAGGAATAAAACACACGTGATTTGAAAATGAAATGGGGACTACTTGGGGTAAAAAACCCTTAAATGAGGAGGGGACAGGAAGAGGGAGTGGGGGGAGGATAAACCCAAACTGAGGTTGTACAAAAAAGCCACGAGGAAACCAGTACTTGGTAATCCAATTTACAACCAACACTTCCCTTTTTTAAGAGTTTGAATGGAGGTCCCCGTGTGGTTAGATAAAGCTGTTTCCAGAAGCTATAGATTGTCAAATGAAAATTTCAGTGCCAGGCGTGGGCTACCACCCAAAGATTTGCAGGTCAGGGAGCCCCCGCGGCTCCCACAACAATACATTCAAATGCCACTGCTGTTGGCTGCCCACTGGGACTACATGGGAAGAACCTGTTGCTGAAGACACGGAGAAATCAAGCTGGAGCTGATCTGGAAGCTCCCTCCCTGTGGCCTTTCCACGCTGGAAGGTGCTGTGCAGGCTGCTGGGGCAGGGAGGTCACCAACAGTCTAACACAGCTGTGGACGCCGTGGTCCGGCTGACTGTCCAGGCTAAATGTGCCCATTGGTGAAATAGTGGCGGGTCTGTTGTGGAGCAACCAACTGCTTTCTGGTTGGATCTGAGGCCTGCCTCACTGGAGGGAGCCCCCATCCGGTACCGTGACGCTAGCCAAACACCACGGCGGTGAGGTCATGGACCCTGGTGGGGAAGACACTGCTGTTGTTTTGGTAAATGGGTGTGATGTGACTAGGTAATGATGTTTATGCATAGATGAGTGCTGCTGTCAGCTTCAGTTAGTGTCTTAGTCATAGTTCTGTTGCTGTTAAGAGACATCATGACCAAGGCAATTCATATATATATAATTTCATTGAGGGCTGGCTTACAGTTTCAGAGGGTTTTAGTCCATTATCATCACTGTGGGAAGCATAGCAACATGAAGGGCAGACATGGTGCTGGAGAAGTAATAGTACATCCTGGTTTTTTATTTTATTTATTTGTTTGTTTGTTTGTTTATTATGTATACAGCATATATGACTGCAGGCCAGAAGAGGGCGCCAGATCTCATTACAGATGGTTGTGAGTCACCATGTGGTTGCTGGGAATTGAACTCAGGACCTCTGGAAGAGCAGTCAGTGCTCTTAACCTCTGAGCCATCTCTCCAGCCCAGTACATCCTGATTTACAGGCCAAGAGAGACACTGGGCCCGGCACAGGCTTTTAAAACTTCAAAGCCCACCCTCAGTGACACACTTCCTCCAGCAGGACCACACACATGTTCCAAAAAGGCCACACCTCCTAATCCTTCTAATCTTTTCAAACAGTTCCACTTTCTGGTGACTGAGTGTCCAAATATAGGAGCCTATTGGCCCATTCTTGTTCAAACCACCACAGTTAGAAAAGGTCTTTTCGCTGTTTTGTAGTGGGCAGCAGTAACTGCAGAGACTCGTTGAATGCGACACAGATGCCATAAGCATCTATGTCGGCCTCTGCAAGGCTCCGGGCACATCATAGAAGAGAGGGCAGAAAGAGCATCAGAGCCATGAGACGGGCGGAGTGTTGTGGAATGCTGTGTCGTTGTCCTATGCTGTTTCTGTACGTGTGCATTTTACCTGTAACTCGCATAGAATCTGATAGTGGCATTACTGTTTTGTGCACATTTAGTCACACGTGTCTTTTTATTGGCTTCATCCTTTCATGAAGCTACAAGTCTAATTTGTCACGGCTCCCATCCGTCTGAAGCATGCCTTTTGTATCCAGAAGCATACACGTGCTACTGCTGTTTATTTTGCTCTTTAATAAATGTATCGATTCTTTGAGTGTGTTCCCCTCCCCGCTCAGTTTTGGCCGTTTGCTCTAACTCTGTGGTTTTGGGTGCTTGCTTACTTTTGTATTTACCATTCTTGAGATTCAAAATGCATTTCGATGCCGTGACTTGATGTCTTTTGTTAGCTTTCAAAACTCTTCCAACCAAACAAAACACCTTTAATCCCAGCACTCAGGAGGCAGAGGTGGTCAGATCTCGGTGAGTTTGAGGCCAGCCTGGTCTACAAATCGAGTTCCTGGACAGCCAGGGCTACACAGAGAAACCCTGTCTCAAAAAACTGTCTTCCCACATCAATAGTCTATGTGTTATTCCAGTTATACCCGCATTAGCCATTGTCTTTTGTCCCTGTCTTTTCCCTAATATTTCGTTTATATTCTATTCTAGATTACTAATTCTAACTTCAGCTCTTTGTATTATGCTGTTCCACTTAACACTTGACTGAGTTCTTAATTTGTTTTGTTTTGAGACAGGATCTCATTATGTCCCTCTGTCTGGATTGGAACTCACTATGTAGACCAGGCTGGTCTTGAACACAGAGATCCACTTGCCTAGGTCTTGTCTCCAAATGCTGGGATTAAAGGCATGCACCACCACCACCACACTGGGCCCCAGCTGAGTTCTTTTGTGGTTATTTTTCAGAGGGTCTCTTGGTGTAACCCAGGCTGTTCTGGAACTCACAGAAACACACCTATTTCTGTCTCTCAAGTGATGGGGTTAAAGGCTTGTGCCACCATGCCCAGCCCCCCGCTGAGCTCTGATCTCTGAGTTTTGTTTGTTTACACTCTAGAGTTTATAACTGGGTCCAGTTCTCTTATAAAAGTTTTCAGTCTTCCCTTTTAATTCCTCAAACATCTTTGCGGGGGGTTGTTTTTTTTTTGTTTGTTTGTTTTTTTGTTTTGTTTTTTTTTTTTTGGTTTATCAAGACTGAGTTTCTCTGTTTAGTCCTTGCTGTCCTGGAACTCACTCTGTACACCAGGCTGGTCTCGAACTCAGTGATCTGTCTGCCTCCGCCTCCCGAGTGCTAGGACTAAAAGCATGTGCCACCAGTGCCCGGCTATCATTTAGTTTTCAATCGTATCTTCTTTCTCCAGTTGCCTATTTTGGAGGCCCTTTGCATTCGCAATGAAACATTTGGAGGAATCTTAAATGTCTTAGTCACTTGTCTTATTGCTGTGACCTATCTCAAAACAAAACAAAAACAAAAACAACAAAAAAATCGGGGTGGTGGTGGTGGCAGAGGTGGCACACACCTTTAATTCCAGCACTAGGGAGGCAGAGGCAGGAGGATCTCTGTGAGTTCAAGGCCAGCCTGGGCTACAAAGTGAGTTCCAAGGTAGCCAGGGCTACACAGAGAAACCCTGTCTCGAAAATAAATAAATAAATAAATAAATAAATAAATAAATAAATAAATAAATAAATAAATAAACAAACAAACAAACAAACAAACAAACAAAATAAAATAGGGCCTGGGTATAGCTCGGTGGTAGGGGGTTTGCTTACCATACCCACCAAAGGCTGAATCAAAAGATTCCTTTCTGGGGACCAGGAGATGGTGCATTCAGCAAATGGCTTGCGGCACAGACATTGAACCTGAGTTCAATCCCCAAAACCCATGTAGTTCCAGCCCTGGAGAGTCAGAGACAGGAGGGTCCCTGGGATCGCTGGCCAGTCAGCCATGCACACCTGCACACACACGAACACACAAGATGAATTTCTGGGTTTTCTTTTTGCTTGGGGGAATGGTTGAGAGGGGCTCTCACCGTGGCCCAGGTTAGTCTCCAACCCCTTGGATCAAGTGACCTTCCTGTGTGTGCCACGGGGTTGGCTCCAGTTTTGGACTTTTTGATTCTCTAAACATGGTCTCTCCCTTCTACAGTCTGCCTGCGTCCTGGAGGTCCTAGGCAAAAAGTAATCAGATGACTTTGTGCCATGCTGTTTCTCTGGGTTTTTTCTCCCTGGTTTCTGCTCTAGGCTGTTCCTCGACTGGGCCACCCACCTGGGACCCTCCCTCTCTGCGGAGCCGTACTACATTGCCCAGTCTTCTTGCTCCTGAATCTCTTTGTGTCTGTCCATCTAAGTCTTGTTTTCTGTTTCTTTCCTTACGCCCACTGACTCATCTTTCACTTATCCTGGCGGTCTACCCAGCCTGTCTTGGAGTCCCTGTTAGACAAGATTTTCATCTATCCTTGGTGCATAAGCAACTTCTGGACACCTCGCTCGTATCCTTCTAACTCTTCAGCTTTCTGCTAACTGCTGCTGATCTCACTGCTGCCCCCCACCCACCTAGAAACACACACACACACACACACACACACACACACACACACACACACACACACAGAGGAAGGGACACAGAGGGACCCAGTGAGGTGCAGTAGTCCCCATGACTTTACTCACCAGTGACAGGAGGAACTGCATGGTGTCTTCCCCATCCCCCGCTCCTGGAAGCCACTGTGCCAGGCCAGCAGCAGGTAGACTTCTGCAAAATGGCCTGAATGTGTGGTTATATAGGCCCACGTTCTGGACTCACAGCCTCTTCTGAGTGTCCTGGGCTGTGGACTGAGACCACTTGAGACCCTCCCCTTTGGGGGCTGTTTATGGCTTAGCTGCAACCACCAGGCTTCGAGGATGCGTTGAGCCTCTGGCTCTGGTGGGTGAGCCCCGAGGACCAGTGTCAGTTTTGATGTTCTTTCCTGGAGGCTTCCTACAACTTCTCCCAGACAGTATCTTTCCAGCTGCAGATTGCTTGCGATTTTCAGGCCCCAGGGGATGTGGACTTCCTGTTCAAGCCTGGCCGGCTCTCCTTCCCTGCCTGGTTCTACTGAGGGAGCATTATTCTGACTCAGCTGTTTAGGAATTTTTATCACTGTTGAGACACTGTCTACCACATAGCCCTGGCCGGTTTCAAACTCCTGGACTCCATAGGTCCTCCTGAGTGTTGGGAGACAGACATGGTCCCTGCATCCAGCCTTCATGCTTTCTGAGAACCATTCAGGTCCTCTATATGGCCCCAGAAGCTGCATGGGTGGTGGCTAGGAAGGAGGACTGGGGTCCAAAATCTCTGCTCTCCTCACTCCAGCCCCAACCGCTGAGGACAAAGCCGCCATTATCATCCAGTGTGCCTTCCGGCAACATCTGGCACGAAAGGATCTGGCCTACCGTCAGAAGGAGCGCCAGGAGTACCTGGATGAAATGGAGAAGCTGCAGAGAGAGGTGAGCAGGGCCCAGCCACAAGACCCTGAGTGCCAGGACCCTAGTTAGAGGGAAGGTCTGGACAGAGTGGGAAGGGGAGCCGTGACCTTTGGGTTTTAGACGGGGACCTCAAGGTTGTGGGCATGATGTCGGGATTGCACAGTGACCGTGAGTTGCGGACACTGCGGCAGCGTTCTGGGCGTTGGGGACGGTGACCACGGGTCATGCATGTCTTGCAGGCCTACCTGGCCATGGTGCGCCGGGAGCAGGAGGAGGCGCGGCGGCAGCGCGAGCAGGAGGAGGCGGCGGAGCGCGCGCGGCGGGAGGAGCTGCAGCGCCGCCGCCGCCTGCTGGAGGCCGCCTTCGAAGGGGACCTGGGCGAGATCCGCGCGGTGCTTAAGGAGGTCGGTGCGGCGGCGGCGGCAGCGGGTGGGCGGGAAGGGGCGGGCGCCAGGGTGACACTGCCCTGCGCCCAGGTGGATCAGCTGCTGACGCGCGAAGGCGTGGGCCACGACGAGGCGGGCAAGGCTCGGCGGCTGCAGAGGCGCGTGGCCACTGTGGAGTGCGAGGACAGCCACGGGAACACGCCTCTATCCGAGGCGGCGGCGGGCGGGCAGCCCATGGCCATCCAGCTGCTGGCGGAGCTGGGTGCCAACCCCAACAGCAAGGTGGGCGCGGTGCGCGCGGCGGCGGCGTGGCCCGGTCCCCGCACGCGCTCAGGGAGCCCTTTCCGCAGGGCGCCTTCGGCCGCACGCCGCTCTACCGGGCTGCCTTTGGGGGCCACCTGGAAGCCGTGGAGGTGCTTCTGAAGCTCGGAGCAGACCCCCGGGTGTACGCGGATGACGGGAGCACTCCGGAGCAGGTGTGGCCCTGGCACGCACATCCCTATTCCAAAGGTTTCTGGTGTGGTGGTGCACATCTGTAATCCCAGGACTGGGCAAGTGGGTGGAGAGGAGTTCCAGGCCAGAAGCCTGGCAGAGAGACCCTGTCTCATAAGGAAAACAACAAAAAAAATGTCGACAGGATACAGGGATCCCTAGGTTCTGCATCTGGTTCCACCCCACCCGCCGCCGGTTTCTGAACATTGGTTGTTGTCTGCTAGGGGACACCTTCTGTGCAGTTCATTTCAGCTCCATCAGTGCTCTGGCTACCCGAGCATACAGCTGCTGTGGTAGATTAGGAAACAGTCCTCTGGCCTCAGAGGTTGGCCAGGTATCCCAGGTGCTTAGGCAACTGGGGATGCACCGACCAGTTTGCTCTTCCCTGTTTCTTCCCGCTCAGTCAGTGGAACTGCCCCCCAGCTGGAGGGAGTGCTGTGGTGCCCATGCTGAGCACTGGGAACATGTGGGTCCCTGTTGGTCGGTCCGGTGGGAGGTCGCTGCTCACTCAGCTGTGGGGCAACTCAGAGAAGCCAGGCCAGGAAGTGCCTCTATCTTCTGTTTGTTTATTTACACACACAGACATGCACAGACAGACAGACAGACGGACATACATACACACAGACAGACAGACAGACACACACACACACACACACACACGGACCCACTTCATCATATCCCAGGTTGGCCAGGAACAATCCTGATCCTTCTGCCTTAGACTCTACAGTTGTGGGGTCACAGGTGTTGGGTACCACCCCTGACCTTACCTTTATTTCCTTTAGGTCACCTGAATTTAAAGCTAGTTACCCCATATCTCACCCCTAAAGCCGAGGGTGCTGCCAGCAATGGCAGGATGGGTGTCAGGCCTTTGGGCACACACTTGCTTCTGCGCCCCTTGAAGGGACATCAGGTTCTTTGCCCAGCCTGGGACCCCAGCCTCAGGTGCCGCTTCCGGTTTTGCTTCCTGTGGACACTTCTCCGGGGTCTAGCCTAAGCTCCTGGGCTAGCAGGTGAAGTCTACAGGTGAACGGTACAGCAGGAGTCTGGGAGTTCAGAGAGTGCCCAAGAGCCAGTGCCTGGAGGGCACAGAGGGTCAGAGGACTGTTGGGCAGCCACAGGGCTGGTAATTGGGGAGGTGTCCTAACTCTCAGCTGTCAAGAAGGACACCCATCTCAACCCAAGGTACCAGAGCCACTTCACTGGCAGCCCACCGGCCAAGAAAGGAGTTCTGATCTGAGTCTCATACCTGACACAAAATCAACTCAGCAGATCTGAGATTTCAGCATAAACAGTGAACCACTAAGCTTTTAGACACAGGGAGTATCTCTGGACCCTAGGGCATGCAGAAGCATTCTTAGATACCACACCAAGAAGACAGCAGGAAAAGCTGGGCTTCACCAAGATGAAGAGCATACCAATCTGGCAGAGGAGACACTGTGATCACAGAGGTGTTTTCCCAGGGCGAGGCTTATCCATTGCACTCCAGATGTGCTGACCCCTGCGATTTCCCCACATATGGGAAACTCGATGGCATAATTAGTGGTAGTGGGGGACTGCATTCACACTCTTCTCTGAAGGGAAAAAAAAAAAGAAAGAAGAGAGAAAAGAAAGAAAGTTTCCCTTCACAAGACCCTGACAAGAAGTAATGGCCAGCTATGGGGAGAACCCGGTCACTAATCATATATTTGACCAAGGACACTCCCCTGGGGCATATAAGCAAATCCCATCTCAACAGCAAATAAACGTTGTCCTGCCATGACAGACAGGGAGAAGCGTGTCCTGTGTCAGCACACACTGTGACAGCTGAAGTGACGGAAGGGGTGAACCAGTGCTGGCAAGCTGTAGACAAACTGGAGTCTCATGCCTTGCTGCACACACGGCCAAGGGCTCCTCCTCTGCAGACTTTGAAGATCTAAACACACTGTGTCCCTCAGCGGCCATGATCCTGGGCACTCAGCCCAGTGGACTGAAGCTGTGTTCACATAATAATGTCCACTGAAGCTTGCATGGTAAGAGCCCCAAACTGGACACAGTCCGGATACAGATATCCTTTCATGGTGAAAGCTGGCACACCCACAGCTTGGACCGCCTTTCAGCCAGGAGGATGGAGGCAGTGATTGGCAGCAACTCGCATAACCCTCCAGGGAACTATGAGAAAAAGCCCCTCCCACAGCACTAAGTCCACGATTCCATCTCAAAGTGGCGACATGATAAAAATGGAAGACAGATTGGTGGTTTTTACAGAAAGGAGAAGAGGAGTGGCTGTGGGGGGGGGGCAAAGACAGTGGCGCGCTGAGGCGGTGGGTGCAGAAGCTTGTATTGAGTGAATTCAACTCGTTCTTATGTTCGCTGGACTCGGGCATCAGTTAACTGCAGTAACTTGCCACATGCTGTGTGTTATGTCTTCCTTTCAATTAGCTCAGTCTTTATCCTGACACTTCATTAACTTATTAAACCACTGATGTGCTCATGGGACACCCATCAATGCACCATGCCACTCTCTTGTGCTCTTTTGGTTTCCACTGAGTGCAGCTCTTCCACTCACAGGCCAACCCCCCCCAATCTGTAAGCTGTTTCCACACACCAGACGGTAACAGCCCAGCTCTGCAGGACTACAGATAACCATCAAGCTCCTTGGCAAAAATCTTGGCACATAGTTCTCTATTCTTTTAGATAAGTGCCCATGGATATAGTCTACTCCATAGTATAAAACTGTAAGGAAATGTGAGAAGTGGAGCAGGGTAAGGGGCTGTGTCACTAGGGTGGACAGGCGGATAGTGGCGATTTTAAGAAAGGTGTCCAGGATGGATCTGTCCAAGGAGGTGTCAAACAGGAGGGATCTAGAGGAGAGGACATGGATGCTGTGGTGTCCAAGGATGGAGCTGACCAAGGAAGACACTGGACAAAAGGTGTCAGTAGTATACCATCTATAGGTGGCAGTGCCATCTGATGTCGCTCAACACCAAGGAGCTCAGATCTGTGAAGGGCAATGCTGGCAATGAAAGGCCCAGGCAGCCCTTGGCGGTGTCTTGACTGAGGTTTGCAGCAACTGGGTGTTGATCTGTAGTCTATGACGAGCAGGCAGTCCCTGAATTTCTAAAACTAAACTTGGGCTCCCTGTAAAGCAGCTGAATCTGAAAGATTATGCGTTTGTCTCTGTCGGGCTTTGAGCTAAGATGGGGCCAACAGACAGGGCCTGACTCTAAGGCATCAGCATGAGGGGACTGGACAGATGTACTTCGTGTGGGTCAGCCACGTCCCCACCCTTCCAGAGGCTCACAGCCCTCTATGTAGACCCTTCTCCATCTCTCCTCCAGTACCTGTGGATGATGGCCAAGTCTGCCAGGCCTCATCATCCCTCTTCTTCCTGTGACCTCATGAGCATCATCTCTGCTTTTCACAGCCAGGCAAGGAAGAGACTGTTGAGATTACATGTGTAAATCGTCACACCCAGGTCTCTGTGGCTCTTAGAGGTTGTGTCCTAGAAGGGTAGATCTTCAGGCGGACAGCTGATGATGGCAACTCCAGACAACAGTGTCTGTGCCTGTAGTGCGGGCAGCCTAGAGGCCTTGGTGGCCTTGCATGAGTAGTAGATGGAGGCAAGCTTGGTTGGTGGGCAGATGGAGAGGGGCAAAAGTGGCCCTGGAAGCTCTGCCACTGGAGCTGGGTCTGCTTGGATGTAGGCAGTTTGCCCAGGGGACCTGTGGTCTTGGCTTGTGCTCTCTCAGTTCCCAGCCACGGCACCCTAGCCTTTCCAAATCCTCTAAAAAGGAAGCGCCTCCTTCCTAGCTTGGCAGACCACTCAGACACACATGGCTCTAAGCACCGAATGCCTTGTCCTCAGGTGGCCTCGCTGGTGACAGTGGCCAGCGTGCTGCAGTCGTGGGACCTGAGCCTCACAGAAGCTATGCTCCAGAACATGGAGGCTGAGAAGGAGCGCAGGGCTCAGGAGGCCCAGAAGCACAAGGAGGCTGAGGCCAAGCGGTGCGCCTCAGGGGGGGAGCGGGGGGGGGGGGGGGGGCAGAGGGGGGTGATGGCAACAACATGGCCGACTTTGACCAGCTGGCTTCTTCACACCGCAGCATCAACCT